GATGCTCAGCATGTAGAGCGTTCTATCTCAGGTGATCAACAACATCATAGTATAGCCACAGACAGGCCCAAACGCAATATCAAGCCACCTACCAGGTATGGTTTTGAAGATTTGGTTTCTTATGCGCTTATTACTAGTAGCGGGGATCCTACAACTTTTCAAGAGGCAGTACAAAGCCAAGAGAAAAGTAGATGGATGGGTGCTATGGTGGAAGAGATAGAGTCTCTGCATAAGAACCAGACGTGGGAGTTGATNTGAGCTCTGAGTTTTGAATGCAATCTTCAAAATCCCTCATGGATTGATTCCATCTGCAAGGCTGTCCCTTGTGTTCCTGGGGACTTCAGATGGCATTGAAGTCCCCAAGAAGTATCCAGAGATCATTCTTGAAATTGCAAGCTTCATGACATATGTTTCCCCAAAGGCTTCTCCTTGTGTGGTCCACATTGGCTCCATAGACAAATGAGCAAAAGAAACTGGTGTTACTTTCATAATGTAATACCTTGCAGTGTATAATTTGATCAGTTTCTGAAAGCTTCTCAAGCCTCACATTTCTTGGGTTCCAAGCAATCCAGATTTTTTCCAAGTCATGACTGTCATAGTTGTTAGTGAACTCCCAGTTTTTGAACATGCGGTTCATAATATTTTTATTTACAGGTCTAACTCTAGTTTCAACAACACCTATGAAGTCAAGGTGTTGTTCAAAAATAAGTTTCCTCACCTCTTCTTGTCTGGAAGGGCTATTTAGCCCTCTCACGTTCCAACATGCAAATTTGATCATGAGGAGGAGTGTTTCCTGAGGTTAGAGTGCGCCTTTTTCTTCTTGGAGCTCATATTAGTGGGAACATCTGCACTTTCTATTGGCTGTTTCAGCTCCACAACAATTTGGCCCTCCTTAAGATATAGTAGAATTTATTTGGAGGAGTGATGGGCACAAAATTATATGAAGTATGATTGCTGCTGCTTTGGTGGGATTTAGATACCTGTGGTTTTTGTTGTGGAGTGGGAAGTGCCTCCTGAACTTTCTCATTGCAGCTTCTCTTGCACGTTTTCAGTTGCAATTGTAGGATGCTGCTCTTTTGGTGTATTGACTGTCTCCATAGGGGGGTCTATAGTGACTGTGGACACAATGTTCTTCCCCTTATCAATTGGAGCTGGATCCACATCCTTTCCATTAGTTGCTTCTTGGATCTTCTGCTTCTATTTCCACTCAGTTCTTACCTTTGGACATGAGGCATCNCCTGTTACTACAGACAAGTTCAAGCACTGCTTGGACTTGATTAATGTCTCTAGTTGCTAGATGGGAGATGCCTCAACTCAGCGTCCCCGGTGGAGTTCCCGAATACATGTCCTCTTTTTTTTCTTCTAAGGGGTGAATATTTGTCAAGGTGGAGATTGTTAGAGTATGGTGTGACTTATATTTGCTGTGTGCATAATGGTAAGGAGGCAGATGCCGGAGCGGAGCCCGCGACGGCATCTACCTTGCGGGATTTATATAAAGGGGACGCTGATTAGTTAGGGGTGCGGGGGCAACGCCTCCGCGATACGGTACAGGGGTATTTTTGTAAATACGTCCATATTAGGGTTATATAAATACTTAAGATGTAACCCTATTCTATAATGGAAAAGAACGGCCGCTCACTCTCGTGGATGTAGGCACATTGCCGAACCACGTAAATCTCTNATAATGGAAAAGAACGGCCGCTCGCTCTCGTGGATGTAGGCACATTGCCGAACCACGTAAATCTCTGTGTGTTATTTTCTCCTGCTTTCTTAATTGTTTGATTCCTTACTATTCACCATAATTGCTGCACGATCACAACAATCTGCAAAGCTGTCCCTTGTGTTCCTGGGGACTTCAGATGGCATTGAAGTCCCCAATANAATCAGTAAGTACACCTTTGGCGAATCATTTCAGATTGTCTACCGCTCAGTGCCCGAAGACAGGTGATGAAGTTCATGACATGTCAAAGGTCCCATATGCTAGTGCAGTGGGGTGTTTGATGTATGCTATGGTTTGTACAAGACCAGATTTGGCACAAGCTGTCAGCGTGGTTAGCGAGTTTCTTTCAAATCCGAGTCGACAGCATTGGGATGCAGTCAGGTGGATTTTCAGATACTTGAGGGGCACTACAGACTATGGCATCAGGTTTAGCAGACAACAGAGTGACCCTTCAGTTATGGGATATGTGGATGCAGACTATGCAGGNGACGTATTTACAAAAATACCCCTGTACCGTACCGCGGGGGCGTTGCCCCCGCACCCCCAACTAATCAGTGTCCCCTTTATATAAATCCCGCTCCGACATCTGCCTCCTTGCCATTATACACACAGCAAATATGAGCCACACATACTCTAACATATCCGATATGAAAATCACAATCAATGGTATCAAAAGCTTTCATTAAGTCAACCTTTATTGCACATCTAGATGGCCCCCCTTGTTCCTGTGATAGTTTTTTTTGGCAATTCTTGTGTTAGGAGGATTTTGTCACTAATATACCTGCCAGGGACAAAAGCAGTTTGATTTGGGCTCGTGATGTCTTGCAGAACATATTTGAATCTGTTTGCAAGCACTTTAGAGATCACTTTGTATAATGTGTTGCAATAGGAGATTGGTCTGAAATCACCCATGGCGGATGGGTTGGAGACTTTAGGAATGAGAGTAATGAGAGTGTTGTTCCATTCTCTAAGGAGTTTATCTCTACAGAAGAATTCTCTGACTGCACCAATGAGATCATTACCAATAACATTCCAGGCTTTCTTAAAAAAATAGGCATTGAACCTATCTGGCCCAGGGGCCTTCATGCTATCAATTGAGAATAATGCATTCTTGATTTCCTCAGTTGTTACCTCCTTTACCATTTCAGTTGCTTGATTTTCATCAATAGTGTTTTGAACAAGTGAGCTTAAGTACTGTTGTCTCTCTATTCTATTGACAGTGTGGGAATCTTTCTTCAATAGGTGTTGAAATAAGTTTATAGCCTCCCTCTTTATCTCCAGCAGTGGTTCCATCCATCCTTTTTAACGAAAGAATTTTTTTCCTATTTCTTTTGTTATTCACAGCTTTGAAGAAATATGAGGGGTTTTGATCCCCCTCCTTAAGCCAATGGACCCTTGCTTTTTGTTTGTGGAAACCTTCCTCAACCTGAGCAGCTCTTAAATAGTTTGCAAGTAGTAGCTTTTCCTTTTGCCTTAGCCTTATATCAGAAGGGTCATGATCAAGATCTCTTTGACAGTTTTCAAGAGCACTCTTTGCTTCCTTGGATCTCATTGAGATGTCACCAATCTCCTTGCATTTCTCTTTGAAGATGGATTTAAGCCTTTTCAATTTGGAGCTAATTTGGAATTGCAAGGTGCCTTGTATGCTTTCATTCCAAACTTGGATTACGGTGGGGATAAAGTCCTCTCTGTCAGCAAGAAAATTGAAGAATCTGAAAGAGGATTTCCTTCTACTAGCCGCTGTGACTAGCTTGACGAGTGAAGGGCAATGATCAGAGACTCCAGGTGGAAGGTGTTCTGCTTCAGAATATGGGAATTTGACATTCCATTCCTCATTAATAAGCACCCTATCCAACTTCCTAGCCACATTGTTACTTTTCCATGTGTAAAGCAGTCCTGAGTATCTCAACTCAATGAGCTCTGAGTTTTGAATGCAATCTTCAAAATCCCTCATGGATTGATTCCATCTGCAAGGCTGTCCCTTGTGTTCCTGGGGACTTCAGATGGCATTGAAGTCCCCAAGAAGTATCCAGAGATCATTCTTGAAATTGCAAGCTTCATGACATATGTTTCCCCAAAGGCTTCTCCTTGTGTGGTCCACATTGGCTCCATAGACAAATGAGCAAAAGAAACTGGTGTTACTTTCATAATGTAATACCTTGCAGTGTATAATTTGATCAGTTTCTGAAAGCTTCTCAAGCCTCACATTTCTTGGGTTCCAAGCAATCCAGATTTTTTCCAAGTCATGACTGTCATAGTTGTTAGTGAACTCCCAGTTTTTGAACATGCGGTTCATAATATTTTTATTTACAGGTCTAACTCTAGTTTCAACAACACCTATGAGGTCAAGGTGTTGTTCAAAAATAAGTTTCCTCACCTCTTCTTGTTTGGAAGGGCTATTTAGCCCTCTCACGTTCCAACATGCAAATTTGATCATGAGGAGGAGTGTTTCCTGAGGTTAGAGTGCGCCTTTTTCTTCTTGGAGCTCATATTAGTGGGAACATCTGCACTTTCTATTGGCTGTTTCAGCTCCACAACAATTTGGCCCTCCTTAAGATATAGTAGAATTTATTTGGAGGAGTGATGGGCACAAAATTATATGAAGTATGATTGCTGCTGCTTTGGTGGGATTTAGATACCTGTGGTTTTTGTTGTGGAGTGGGAAGTGCCTCCTGAACTTTCTCATTGCAGCTTCTCTTGCACGTTTTCAGTTGCAATTGTAGGATGCTGCTCTTTTGGTGTATTGACTGTCTCCATAGGGGGGTCTATAGTGACTGTGGACACAATGTTCTTCCCCTTATCAATTGGAGCTGGATCCACATCCTTTCCATTAGTTGCTTCTTGGATCTTCTGCTTCTATTTCCACTCAGTTCTTACCTTTGGACATGAGGCATCATTGTGACCAAAGATTTTGCATAAACTACATGATTTGGGCCTCCATTAATACTCCACTTTGAGCTCTATGGTTTCTAATACCCCATTGATTTCCACTCTTAGGTCAAATGAGTCAATGAGTTGGTTTTCTGTTTTAACCTCAGTGCAGATTCTAGCATGACTTAGCCTTCTTTTTGATGTAGTGAGTGAATCAACATAGAGTGGCTTCCCTATGGCACTTGGAGAGTACAAGGATAGTTTCTCTCCACTCGCTCCTCTACTAATTGGGCGAAGTCTCTTCTTACAATCCACCTTTGTAATAGAGTCCATGTTTCATCCAACGGTTGTAAGAGATTCTCATACTTGGGGTGTCTAAATTAAATGATGTTTTTTTTTTCAATTAGAAGACACTATTACAAGAAATGAAGACGAATTTGTCCAATAAAGGAGGCAGCGGTTATTAAGCCCACCGTTAACCTCAAATTAAATGATGTTCAAATAATATTATTTAGGGTTTATATCAAATACTAGTTTAAACAAATGTATTGTATTTGGGTTAAATTAATTTTTTTTTCTCGAACAAACTGAACACCTAGAACTCTTTTATAAACAAAAAATTTACTATGTCCAAATATTTGCAAAACCCCCAGATCTGTTTGTTTAGCATGAAATAAAAATGATAGAAAAGTTAATTTTCTTATATGTTTAGATTTTTTCACATCTAACCAACTTTTTTTTCTTGTAAAAAATAATAGAAAAAAGTAAGAAAGTTGTGTTCAATAACTTAACTTTTCATTTTACCCTTTTTTTTAAAAAAATATTCAATTAGTTATTAATTTTTAAAAAAAAATGTACAAATTAGACTAACCATATAATTTAGTCAGAGATCAGGGTTCGAATCAATCCTTGTCACTGAATAGGTTAAGAACCAATTTTTTTTAATTTTGAATAATAAAAAATATTTTTTCTTCTTTAGATAGAGTTAAAATAATTAAGGATAATTTAAACAATTAAAAAAAAATTCTTATAACTTTCCTTTCTCTCAAACAATAGAATGAAATTGTTTTAAAATTTTCTTAGAAATTTATCATTCTAACCAAATGCATGCATGAAAATATATTTTCTTTTACTTCACTTTTTATCTCTTTCATTTTTCATCATATTTTTCTTGCTAATCAAACGGACCCCAAAGAATTACCTCAATCCTACAGCAATTCATAAACTAACCTTATCAAGAAACTAAAAAAAATATAAAATAAATTATACTATGCCAGCTAAAAGGGTATGTCATTCAACATCGGATTAATTATGTTTGATATTATTTAATTAATTTATTATTCGTGTTAATAATTCTTATAATTTTCAAATGCGTGTATAATCAAATGCCCTGCACACTAATTATACATATTGTTCTTGTTGCATTGAAGATTACAACCCTTAGCCACAGTATTGACAACTCATCGTGGCCAACACCCTTTTTTGGGGTTGTGCGATTTTCTTTGATATAATTAACTATTGAAAATAAGCATCAAAATTAATTTTAAATAAAATAGTAAAAAAATGATAACTAATGGTTTAACAAAAGTCATTACTTAAATAATCAATTTAAAATTATAGGAACAATACTTTGTTAAGTTGAGTTGATTTTAGTGCTTTACTTTGACATATAATTTTCCCCCAAGTAGAGAACGAGTATAAATATCTTTTAAAAATGCGAGTAAACTCTAAAGAGTAGTTTAATTGATAATAACGATAAATCGTCAATTTAAAAATTTGGAATTCAAATGTTGACAATTTGTTAAGACTAAATCACGAAAAATTTATCTCTCATGAATATGTCAGTCCCGACATTAATGGTCTGCCTTTGACCAAATTTAAAAAGATAATCGAATTGTCAATATGTTGGTCCGGACACCCCGAGCAGATGAAAAAAAAAATCATGGGAGTAAAGACAAGTAATCGCTAATAGATTTGACAATCAGACCACTGAAAAGTGGTTTTGGGAGCTCCATGTTCCCTTGAGAAGGAGGACTCTCTCTCTCTCTCTCTCTCTCTCTCTCTCTCTCTCTCCCGTCCTCCATAGCAACTCAAATAAGTAAGCTCCTTGTCTAGTCTCCTTCATTATTTTCATGTCTTGATTATCTTTTTTGCTAATTTTTTTTTCGTTTCTGCTTTGATATTTATTGTGTCTGAAACTTACCCATCTCTTCTATATATTTCTTCGTAATTTATGTGAGTTTTGAAGGTGTTTTTGACCTAAATTATTCCCTGATCTAGCAGATAAGATTAGTGAGAAAATCCTAATAGACTCAAAGTAGGTGACTGTGATCAGAAATGGGGAGAGGAAAGATTGTGATCCGAAAGATCGACAATTCGACGAGCCGGCAAGTGACTTTCTCTAAGAGAAGAAACGGATTGCTCAAGAAAGGTGAGGAGCTTTCAATCCTTTGTGATGCTGAAGTTGGGCTCATAATCTTCTCCAGCACTGGGAGGCTTCACGAATTTGCAAGCACTAGGTTAGAAACAATTTCCATTCTCTCTCTCTCTCTCTCTCTCTCCCCCCCCTCTAAATCGACATATATTGTTTAGGCTCCTTCCATCTGTGCCATAGTTTTGTGTGTATTTATGCACATAATTTCTTCTTAATTTCACACTGTATATAGCTTTATATTTCAAGGCCTAATTTTTCAGTATTTCCTATTGATGTGTACATCTTTAGAGCTACATCCATGCAGTGCAAAGCAAGTTCTTGAGGGTACGGAAATATTGAAGCCAGTATATCATAAATCAAATGCATATACATTAGACAAGCATGCATGCACATGTATACACACACATATGTGTGTAATTGTGTGTACATATATGTATATACATATCTATATATATGTGTGTATGTATGTGCTGATATTTGAGATATTAATCCGGTTTGGATAACAAAGTTGATTGGTGTTTCAGACAAGTTCATTACCCACCAAGAAAAAAGATTAAGTTCATAAATCTCACATAACAATATGACATTAAGGTCATGAGACATTGGGTCATATGTATGTTACTGGGAGATTGAGACTCAAATGAGGAGTAGGCTGAAGTGTCTTGTATTTTGCTCATATTATTAGTACAGCCACTTGCATATTTACCCTTCTTGCCTTCTTCTTAAGGAATTAACTTATAATCGAATTTTTTTTTTTGGGTTTGTAATAATTGGGTTTTAGAGCAATGAAATGGAAATATAATGGAGAATGTGGTTGAAAATATTTGTGTCCATGAAAAGAAAAAAATTTGGTTTATATATCTCCATGGAAGTTGGAAATCAGAGCTCTTTTTCTTTGAGGACTATGCTAAGAACTTTGTCGAAAGGATAGCCTTCCGGCTTCTTTTTCCTCAACTAGCCTAAAATAGAGGACAAGATAGGAGAAGATCTCCGAGGGCTTCCATAAATCTGAAATAGAATGGGTTATCATATTTGTATAATGTTTAAGAACTACAAACAAATTTTAACAATTAGGCAAGCTTGAGTTCCAAACCCCTTTAAGAGATAGGACAATTGTTACTCGTCAACTCCGTCCACTATATCTTCATTGATTTGATTAGACGCTGATACAAATATATTAGATAAAATGGATGCAGAAAATAAATAATTTATGAGTAAACTTTTCAACATTTCATGGACAAAGCGCAAATATACACATAATATTTATACGATATGGCTAGAAGAGAAGCTTNTAAACTTTTCAACATTTCATGGACAAAGCGCAAATATACACATAATATTTATACGACATGTCTAGAAGAGAAGCTNATTTATGAGTAAACTTTTCAACATTTCATGGACAAAGCGCAAATATACACATAATATTTATACGATATGGCTAGAAGAGAAGCTTTTTTTTTTTACACTTCCATGAATAAATTTTGCACCACCATTAGACTTCATGCAAAAGCAGTGTGTTGGATGACAATAAATGCCTGTGACACTCCATCGAAAAACATCCACTAGGGCTAAGAAATACGTTTCTTTTGTTTTCAATATCCCACTAGGGGAGGGATGGATGATTTATTTCATATTTAGCTAATGTATTTACTCACCAAATAAATAGGGTTGAATTTCATGTATCACATAACATCAATTATATATCGATGTAGTCCGTTAAGTATTTTATCCGTAAATGTAGCCACGATATACTGGCGTTTTTTTGGTTGTTACCCGTCTTTGTCAAACACCAAAAACTCCTTTTTCTTCTAGTGTGTATAATAGTACACTTATTCCAATATCTCTCCAATTCTATATCTTCAACTTTGCCATGTTTTATATTCTTTAGTTTTTTTCCAAACTTAGACACATGCATAGTACACATGCCCTACAATGCATGTAGAACACTTATGTAAAATAGTAACCAAACATACTATTGCTTCGTTTGATGAAATTACTTTTTCCGCCCTAAAAAGGGTCACCTCTGAAAAGCATTATAAAATGATTTGTTACTTTGAGAACAATTTGTATCCAAGGTGAGAGAAAAGGTAGAAAGAATCGTTATTGTGTAAGAGTTTTCCTTAGGTGTTGTTTGTAAAACCCAGAGTTAAGTATTAAAACTAAAAGTTAAATTTTAGGTGCTCAATGTAGAATTTTATAATTAAAAAAGTGTTTGTATGTAGAAATTTATGCACTAAATTGGATCAATCTATTTGATCAGCATAAGAAACTAAAATTTGAAAATTACTATTATACTAAATTTGATACTTTCCCCCCACCACCCCCCACACACTACCCCTATCAACATTGCCATCGCCACGACCATCACCACCACAACCAGAAACTCATCACAAATGCTACCACCACTCACACACACCACCACAACCAACATCTTTCCCAATAAACCCGTAGGCACTACCTCTGTCATGGATACCATCGTCGTTACNGACCATCACCACCACAACCAGAAACTCATCACAAATGCTACCACCACTCACACACAGCACCACAACCAACATCTTTCCCAATAAGCCCGTAGGCACTACCTCTGTCATGGATACCATCGTCATTGCCAACCCACCAAAATCATCACCCTATTGTTGCAACCATTTTTATTGTTGTCAGCAACATCAACACTACAACTCTACCACAACCACAACTGTCACCATCACCTCCCACCACCGCTTCAGTGCTAGTGGGATAAAGGTAGTGATTGGAATGGTGGTGGTGACAACAATGGTGGTAGTAAATTTGTAATGGTGAGATGGAGGTGGCAGATGCTGGTGGTTGGAGGGGGTGGTGGTAATGAGCTNATTGTTGTCAGCAACATCAACACTACAACTCTACCACAACCACAACTGTCACCATCTCCTCCCACCACCGCTTCAGTGCTAGTGGGATAAAGGTAGCGATTGGAATGGTGGTGGTGACAACAATGGTGGTAGTAAATTTGTAATGGTGAGATGGAGGTGGCAGATGCTGGTGGTTGATGGGGTGGTGGTAATGAGGTACGGTGGTGAGGATATACCTCTTAGCTACAACAAGGATACCTAGCTTCTCAATGAACAATGTTTGAACAAGATATAGTTGAGAGAATCTTTATATACTGATTATGATTATCTGAAGTAGTGCAAATCTAGTTGCCACATAACTAGGGGATGTGTGTTGTTTTGCAATACATTACGAGATGTTTGTGGTATCTCCTGTGTTATGTTAATAAAATTAATTTCTAACCTACAAAATACAAGTGAAACTATGAAGAAAAGAGAAACATCGTNTATCTGAAGTAGTGCAAATCTAGTTGCCACATAACTAGGGGATGTGTGTTGTTTTGCAATACATTACGAGATGTTTGTGGTATCGCCTGTGTTATGTTAATAAAATTAATTTCTAACCTACAAAATACAAGTGAAACTATGAAGAAAAGAGAAACATCGTGATAAAGTAAATGTTTTTGCTTTATATATGTCGATTTTCATTACAAGACATGTTTTCCAAATGAGATGACATGCTGTCATCATATGAATTACTCTCTCTCTCTCTCTCTAGATTACATTGCTTTGTTTTACTTTCTATCAGCATGAAATCTTTAATTGGAAGATACCAACAATATAATGAGGAGCATCAATTGTTGAGTCCAACTTCTGAGGTCAAGGTAATTCTTCAAGATCATCTCCCGTTTCTTCTAGTTGGCCTATTGTAGGAATAGTAAACAAAGACAGGTTGTGTTTTATATTGTCATAACCATTGACACTTTTTGTCAACAATTTATGGGGAAGAATCAATAATCAATGCTTTATGATGTAGGATTGCTTTAGGAAACCTATGTTTGTGTTGTTTCCACTTGATTTTATCATGAAAAGCTTGTAGACTTTTTTTTATTTAGAGTTATGTGTCAACATTTCAATATATCTTCACAATATGGATAGAGATATATAAATATTACAATCTACGCACCACAGAGAACAGAGAAATCAAATATGATGAAAATAGAATCAAATTGATACTGGTTTGATTCGAAAACATTTCCATTACTGGATTTTGTTAGAAAGCTGCTAGGTTTATTCAATAACTAGTAATTTTTAAAATTCTTGAAAATAAAAGAGAGGAGCAAAGTTGAAGTAATGAATAGTAAGGCTATTAATTTTTCAAAACGACATGGTTAGGACGATTTGTACCGAGAAACCGTAGAGTTCTAGGATACAAGGGTTGTACTATGTACAAATNGAAGTAATGAATAGTAAGGCTATTAATTTTTCAAAACGACATGGTTAGGACGATTTCTACCGAGAAACCGTAGAGTTCTAGGATACAAGGGTTGTACTATGTACAACTATGACCAATATCATGTACATGATAATATGATCTCCATTCACTCACATAAGCTATAAGATCGCAACTTAAAGTCCCCTACCCTGCCACATAGCCAGTACCTACAACTTTCTTAGCTTAGTTGTCCCTTTAGTTCTATTGAAGAAAGAGATATTTTTTACTGTTTCTTGACTATATAGATGTACTGACTAAACAAAGATAAATTTGTCCTGTACGTATCAATATAACTCTTCTTTGTTCTGGGGTGAGTGAAATGCAAATAGTATTAAAAAAAAAAAAAAGCAACGCATGTGAATGCATTTAGAAAGAAAACCTATGAGTTATCCTAGCTTGTTAGGTTAAACTATGTCATTTACCAACATCAAGGGTGTGCACTTCAAATAACACAAACTATATAGACTAAATAAAAGGGCTAGTAAACTGTGAAGTTTGATCAAAATATATATATATATATATAGGTACTGAAATTAGTCGACCATGGGGTTTAGAGTAAAAGGTGTCCACCTTAACCGAGGTTGTTCGACCACATAAGGGGTAGGTCGACTAGCTTTTTCAATTGGTCGACCATATAACCCTATGATAAAAACTCAAGTTAGTGTCAATTTGATGGTGATCAACCTCAATCCAACACAAGTCATACTCATCTGAAAACTCAACCAAATCATTTGCATTCATCATCCACTAGTTTAAATATAATTTGAGCTTAATTAATATGCAAAACAACTCATGAAACTCAGCTGCTCATACTGACCGACAACAAAAATCTGTAACACATGCAATAGATCGCTATGTTTATGCAATTACTGCATATTTGTGCTCAAAGCTAATTTTTGTACTTCCTTTTAACTATTTCCTGTCTCTGGACATAACGGATAGCACAATTTTTCTCTCATTTCTTTCCCTTTAATTATTTAATTACTTCTTCAACTTCATTGGTTCTCTTTCTTTTCCATTATCTCTTCAATTTTTCCTTCAACTTTGGTCTCTTCAAGTTGTTCAACAGTGTCTTCAAAGTCACTCACATCTTTTTGTAAATTAATTTTGTTCAAGATGTTGAACCCAATACGCTTTACGTAAGAAATTGCTTCCATGCTTGGAAACTACACTCCGAATAATTTCCAAACATGATGTGGGGATGTTATGCCTCCAATATACTTCCAAATCTTTGGGTGGATAGCCCTTTTGAGAACTCCGAGTGTTTTTTTTCTCTCTTTCTTCTCTCCGCAAACCATTCATTGACCCTGAAATCCCATAAATCACATATTTTGAGGGAGAATGACCTCTTCATTCCCTTATAATTTGAGGACGTCAATTTATCCTAGCAAAAATACATATTTGGTGACTCATCCAATATCATCATGCCTGTGAAGACTACATGTCAAGACTTCAAAGATCGTTGTGGCTCTACTACCACTTGTTTGAATTACTCCAACTCTTGATGCGACTACTTACAACAAAAGTGAGTCGCAAAAACAAAGCTCTAAGCTGAAGAAAAAGAAGGAAACTTGTTTTATGTATTTGTTCTCACTTCTTGTTTACAAATGAAGCCCAAGACCCATTATACAGTTGCTTATTTACATTCACAGCACCTACCATTGTATCCACCTACTACTCTGAACTTACATAAGTGCATGAATATACTTTGAACATACACAAGTGACTCTAAGCATCACTTGTGGCTAATAAATGATGTGTAGTGAAAAGGTACTCTAGAAGAATCTAGATTATTCATGAACCATTGAAAGTGCATTAAATTCAAAAAAGAAAACTAGCTAATATATAGTTATACGAAAGCAAAACATATGGGAGGGAGCTAAGGAGGTCTTGTAACTCTCAGATGGTTCTAGAACAACTGTGGGATACTTTTGCAGCTTCCATATTATATGTTCTGTCAAATTGATTGCACTTATCTCCCCAATTACATTGATAATAATGCTTTTATAATACCAGAACTTTCCAAAGTGAATTATATTGTGAGCCACTAAAGAATTATATTTTAGGCCCCTAAAAAGTTTAAATGCAAGGCATGCACAGTATTGCAATTGAAAAGTCAAAATGCCCATATAACTTCTCATCTTAGCTTTTAAGGAAGAGAAATCCTCATAGAGCAATCTCCATTTCACAGGGTATTCAAGTCCTTGCTTTTAGTATTAGACACATGTTACTCAAGTGTACATGAGTGAATGCTGGAGTTAACTATTTTTTAGCCGGATCACTTACGATGCTTCATAATTGTTAAAAACGTGTAACGTGGAAATACATCAATCCGAATGTAAAAATTTTCATTGATCAAAGGTGTGAAGTACAAAAAAGGGGTTAACTATTTCTTGAATATTGTCCCACATTTTTGACATTGTACGGGTTAGATTTACATTTTACTTACTATACATGGTAGCTTTGGCAAATGGAAGCAGTAAGCTTGAGGCAGCAGCTGCAGGATTTGCAAGAAAGCCACAGGTAAGTTGATGATGATTCGTAATAGCACTAAGCTAATGTACCTCACTGCAGAAATTCATGATCCACCAATATCTCATATATATGTGAATTTCCTCATAGAGAAGCATTGTTTGTGTTTGACAAACGGGCTGCTTTTACGTATACAACAATTGAGTATGTATTATATGATACACCCTACAACTGTGAGTAGTTTAGACATACACTGTATTCTCAACATAGACAAACTTTGTAGTAGTTGGAGACTCGTACATTGGGCGACCTTTTTTAGTATATTATGTGCAATTGTGGCAAACCCATGGATAACACTTGTTCACACATCATAAACAAAGAAAATCCAATCAGCAAATACAATCAAGTCAGTTTCAGGAGAAAAGCCACCACCAACTTTCTGTACCCAAAAAAAAAAAAGGAAAAATAAAATTCACCAACTTAATAGCATAAACCTAACTAAATGAGCAAGACATTGAGAGAATTTAACTAAGCAATCTAATTTCAATGCATAAAGGAAGCTAAGAAGATCAATTATCTAGACCAAAAGGCGAGGTTGAAGGCCAAGAAGATGGTTAAAATTAGAGCAAATTTGATGTATGAACTTCAAAAGTACACTTCATGTATCTTAACATACCCTAAACTTCTACTCTGACGATTGCAGGAAACTGTTGGGAGAAGAACTTTCTGGCTTGAGCAGTGAAGAACTTCAAAATCTGGAAAATCAATTGGAAATGAGTCTGAAGGGAGTCCGAATGAAAAAGGTAGACTCACAATCCTGCAGTACTCACAAATTCTGCCTTAATTATTGTATAAACGATCCAGAAACCACTGTTACTTCTTGCAGGAAGAAATTTTAAGTGAGGAAATCAAAGAACTAAGCCAGAAGGTTATACTGAAAAACTGGCCAAATTTCTAGTCTTTTAACTAAAATTTGATATACCAATGTGGAGCTGACTCTCATCAATTTCGCCGCAGGAAAATCTCATTCATCAAGAGAACATAGAATTATATAAGAAGCTAGATCTCATCCGTAGAGAGAATACAGAATTGCAGAAAAGGGTATCGGATCAGGTGACTAGCTGAATCTAACAGCTCATTATATACTGTATTTTCTCATTTCTAATCCTCCTCATATCCTCCATTAACGAGAGTCTCATACACTGGACTCTCTTTTAACGTATAAAGTGAAATCTGATTCCTAACTGAATCTAACCAAAGGTTTAAATTCTCAGGTTTCATACAAACTCAGCATTGGATGTGACTTGAATGAACCGATCAATCTGCAGCTATAAGCCAGCCAGAAGTGTAAAAGATTAAAGCACCATAAAAAACAATGAAACTGGGGTTAATCTTACGACAAAGCAGCAATGCTTTCAATCAATTCTCAGGCTTGACCCAGTGATACTTTGGGCTTAAGCTACAACACAGAAACCCATTAATCATAACAGTCACCTGGTTATTTGACCCTTAAAATGGATTATTCAATGCTTGAAAGGGCAATATTATCATAACTGAAGCAATTGGGAATTTGGGATCGACCATAGAGGTGTCTATTTAACAGTTTCTTGTCTATAATTCTATATTTACGCCAGAGGTGTCAATTAAGTTGCATACTTCATGTTCGGATCTTATTATTATGAGTTCATGTCATATATATCTGGATCGTATCAACTGGAATTTCTGTTGTGTTAGTGTAACTGGTGAAGCAGAAATTGTAAAATTGCGATTCCTTTTTCTCACGACTAAATTCACTGTCTAGTTGATTCACATCTTATCAAAATCAAATAAAAAACCATTTTAAAAAAAATCTAACACAGTTATTTGATTTGTATGATTTTTGTTCTAGTTAATTAAAACTAAACAAAACAGTATATAGGGAAGGATTTGATCTTTAACCAGATGCAGTGTATAAGAAGGTGGGAAGTGGACGACAGTTCTATATCTATGCAATTAATAAAAGTCTTTGAAAATGAAAAATATTATTTCTCCATTTTGACTCTAGTTAATCATATAAATACAATTTCATCCTCCGACCCTGGAATTTCTAAAGCCATGCGACCATTTTTATCCTTAATCCAGTAATCCAATTTCTGACACAACACGAAATTAGTTGATTATGGTTAATTATTTTTCAACACGAACTCGTATTTGAAACGACTCATTAACACGAATAATANATAGAATTATATAAGAAGCTAGATCTCATCCGTAGAGAGAATACAGAATTGCAGAAAAGGGTATCGGATCAGGTGACTAGCTGAATCTAACAGCTCATTATATACTGTATTTTCTCATTTCTAATCCTCCTCATATCCTCCATTAACGAGAGTCTCATACACTGGACTCTCTTTTAACGTATAAAGTGAAATCTGATTCCTAACTGAATCTAACCAAAGGTTTAAATTCTCAGGTTTCATACAAACTCAGCATTGGATGTGACTTGAATGAACCGATCAATCTGCAGCTATAAGCCAGCCAGAAGTGTAAAAGATTAAAGCACCATAAAAAACAATGAAACTGGGGTTAATCTTACGACAAAGCAGCAATGCTTTCAATCAATTCTCAGGCTTGACCCAGTGATACTTTGGGCTTAAGCTACAACACAGAAACCCATTAATCATAACAGTCACCTGGTTATTTGACCCTTAAAATGGATTATTCAATGCTTGAAAGGGCAATATTATCATAACTGAAGCAATTGGGAATTTGGGATCGACCATAGAGGTGTCTATTTAACAGTTTCTTGTCTATAATTCTATATTTACGCCAGAGGTGTCAATTAAGTTGCATACTTCATGTTCGGATCTTATTATTATGAGTTCATGTCATATATATCTGGATCGTATCAACTGGAATTTCTGTTGTGTTAGTGTAACTGGTGAAGCAGAAATTGTAAAATTGCGATTCCTTTTTCTCACGACTAAATTCACTGTCTAGTTGATTCACATCTTATCAAAATCAAATAAAAAACCATTTTAAAAAAAATCTAACACAGTTATTTGATTTGTATGATTTTTGTTCTAGTTAATTAAAACTAAACAAAACAGTATATAGGGAAGGATTTGATCTTTAACCAGATGCAGTGTATAAGAAGGTGGGAAGTGGACGACAGTTCTATATCTATGCAATTAATAAAAGTCTTTGAAAATGAAAAATATTATTTCTCCATTTTGACTCTAGTTAATCATATAAATACAATTTCATCCTCCGACCCTGGAATTTCTAAAGCCATGCGACCATTTTTATCCTTAATCCAGTAATCCAATTTCTGACACAACACGAAATTAGTTGATTATGGTTAATTATTTTTCAACACGAACTCGTATTTGAAACGACTCATTAACACGAATAATAAATAAATTTGGTTAGTGTCAAATACAAACAATACAAAATTCTGTTAAAAAAAAAACATGTTTGAATAGTATTATAAGAATAAAATGCTATTTTTTTATTAGGTTTTATCAAGTAGTGCTCAAATTTTTGGACCAAAAAAAAATATTTTTACACATTTTTATTATTAAATTTATTAAATTAATTTTTGATTTATAAAAAAAATATGAACATAGATTCAATTAGTGATTAATTAATCTTTTCGTTGACTGGCTCACTTTTGTAATGCAAATATACATGAACTAGTACCGATAAAAAGCTTTTTTTCAGCTATGGAATGGCCATTTCGACGATGGACAGGAAGAAAGAGCACTGTGAATTGCTCATGCTTTTGGCAATTGAAAACTGATATCCTTTTTTCCCATTTGTTATTAAAACAGTGGAATTTTAATAATCGTTATATCCAAAAGAAGGAAAAAGCAAGTAAAATCCAATGTCTGCTCCTTCCATACATCACACTTTTCACTGAAAGAAACATTTCTTGCCAGTTCATGTGCTACTTTGTCCCAGTTCAATGTACTGTTCTTTGGGAAAAAAACTGAAGTGGTTTTCTGGGAAAGATACACCACAAATTGCCCACATACTTAACCTGTCGGAGTAAGTCGGATGGCAGGATTTTCAAAATTTAATTTCTCGAGATCTTAAGTTCAAGTCTCGTAAGAAACGTCTTGATTGATCTGATGTGGATGTTGTGCGGAAATTACGTGCATCTTGAGTGTATATAGCAGCCATGGGCTAAAAGTGATTGTGGTTAAGTAGGTTTTGGAGATTTAGACACCCTTTAATACACCTTTTCTAAATGTTTGATAATTTTGACTCCCCTTGAACTCATTGTGGGTGATTCACCATTTATAGAGACCCGTACTATATGTAATCTTCAATTGAGAAAAATGAAACAAAAGTGTACTGGTGATGATCTGTCTTTGCATCGTCTCGGTTGTAAATCTAAAAAAAAATATAACAAAATACTGTTAAGCTGCAACACAAGAGAAACATGAAATCTTAACAACTAGCAAATCAAATTAAATATTTGTCTTGGATGATTCCTAGTACAATTAGGCATAAATGAGTCAAAGATAGAATCCCAACATTAATCTATGTTGAAATAGGAAACCTCAAGTGTGAACACACATTAATTTTTGATTTAAATAGTAACTATCAAGTGTGAACACAACCCTTTACATTAATCTTGTGATTTGAATAGAAACACTGAAATATTATCCTTTGATTTAAATAAGAGTTCTAGAATGTGAACACAACTTTTAAGCATGCAATGAATCGACACATTAAATTGCCAAGCCAATGACAACCAAGAAACAAACTTTTTTGTTTCTATAGTTCAACAGTCGATAATGTTCGGGTCAACTTACACGTACTTCAACTAATATTCTTCCTGTTCCGGTCAAAAAAATGTCATTCACGTCGGTACAAGGGTATTCATGAATGATAAATTTCTCGTGACTTAACATCAAAGGTTATCAAGATTCAAATTCAAGACTTCTGAATTTACAACTTAGTTTATCGCTAGAACTACCTTTTACCCTTTGAAGTTACACTACTGCCAAGAAACAGCTGGCAATAGTATACAATACATCTTGTATAATTCTTCTTCAGTACAAGATACATAGTCAGCTCGCAAAATTTGTCAGGGTATTTTTCCTAACTCGTACAAATCCTCTGAGTTTTTGTTCGGTGATTGTAGCTAAGAGCTCTGACCACATAGTGAAGTATTCGACAGCTACGGCTGGCTGTAGTGTATAACGTTTTACCAACAACGTTTAACTTCTACAACACAATAATAAAAAATAAAAAACTGTTCTGCTATTGATATTGGGTAAATGGTAAAAAAAATTTAAAAAATAAAAAAGAATATCGATTGTTTGTGTCTAAAGGTTAATTCAAATTAATGGTAAGATTGTTAGCTATATATATTTTCTAAGGATTAGACTTGGGTACTAAAAGAGATATCGACGCAAGAACTTATAATTTTTGTGGATCACCGCACAAGTTTTTGTTGTTTGATTATAAAAAAACTTGGATTGATTTTTAAGAAATTACCATTTTTGGAATTATTTTACAATTTTTATGGTTTAATTAATATTTTTTTAGGGTCAAGTTACAATTTTTGAGAATTTTTCGACTGGTCTTAATAATTTTAGGATCAATCGCAAAATGTTTATATCAAATTATCACTAGTTAAAAAACTTCAAAACTCGTAATTAATTCCAAAAAATCTTAAAAAATTATATATTGAGGTACGATACCGATTTATTATTATTTTTTTTTAACCATAGATTTGGTTAGGACTTTTTCAAAAGGGAGACCTCTGCCAATGTAAATGCTCGGAATAACAAGCCAAGAGAAAGTGAAGTAGTTTGTTTATATTCTAATTGAAATCTTAAATTAATCAAACAAAAGTGTAACATATAAACCAATGTGCATGTATTATTTCATGTACTTCCTTAAATAAACAAAACCATTTTTATATTTTATCTTATTAGGTACGATAAGATAAAATATTTGCTGACTCAGTTTTCTTCTGGGTCATTGTGGAGAAAATTCCACAATGCTGGTTACTGCCTTATGTTTAGGCTAGGCTGGTTGCTGGTTTTGCTTGTTGCTGGTTGTTTTTGATTGGAAGTCCAGATTAATCAAATTTGTACATTTTGCTTCTTTGTTCATTTGGAATTGTGTCTTCTTTGCTTTCTTTTCCTTTGGGATGGATGGAGGATCTTCTTTCTCCTGCTCAAAAAATCAACCATCCCTGGGAATCTCTTTTGTGCGTTAACCTTCCTTTTGGTTTATGAAATTCATCTTACTTATCGGGAAAAAAAAAGAGTAGAACAGTGCTATTGGAACCTAATTTATTGATCTAATTCATTATGACATTTGGATTGATTCTGCGTTCCATCAAATATTGTAATTTGGTGAATGATAGATTAGGTGATGGCCAGCAGAGGACTAGACCATAAGAGGGAGCACCCTATCAGAGAGCCCCAGCCCCTACTGTTCCTCCTAGGAGTACCGAGCTGGTTAGAGTATCCTCTGGGGGAATGACAGATGTTGTTACCGATGTTCCTTCCCCTAGGGTTATAGTTGCTACCGCTGCAGAGTCCGCCTCAGTTGCACTTGTCCAGATTGGTGTTGAG